CGTGGGTCAAATGCAAAACTGATGAAAAAAAAAAATATTAAATATTAATGTTTTGTAAAAACACACACAGTTAAATTGAAATTCTATGAATTAAATCACAATTAAAAAAAAAAAAAAGGAAAATTGTTACCAAAGGTGAAATAAGTTTGTCAATTCATTAGTTATTTAAGTCCAAGCTCAAAGGAAATTATAAATAGATGTGTTGGTTATAAAACCACATGATTTGATAATTTACTTCGCCTATCCTAGTCATATGGGAATTACCTTTTTTTTTACTGTATTCAATGAAGTCAAAAAAAAAAATCATTGAATATTTTATTTATTTATTTATTTATGACGCATTTAATCTTTAAACTTTATATTGTATTTCTTGAATAATTTTAATAAGCTGGAAACAAAAAAAAAAAAAAATTTAATTGTATATAAAACAACCACACCAAATCCTTGAATGACACCATGTTTAAAAACATGGGGAATTTTTTTGTTTAAACATTATATAAACATTCCATTTATTATAAGAAAGTAAAAAAAAAAATAATAATATATTTTCGTGCCAATTAAAAATTTAACATTTTTTACTTTTCAATTTAAAAACAAACAAACAACCTTCGAGTTTTATTTAAATAAATAAATAAAACAAAATAAATTTGTGGGGGGTAAATAATATAAACATTTAATTATTTCGTTTTCTTTAATGTCAAATAAAAATTATTTATATATATATAAATGAAATTTTAAAAATTAATTACAATAATAATAATAATAATAATTGAAAAAATTGATTTTTTTTTTTTTAAATGACGTTCGATGTAAAAACGAAATACTAATTAATATTTTATTTACTTTAAAAAATAATAATAATTTTTTAACAAATTATCATTTTATCAATAAAATCAATAACTTAACGAATTTTTTTTTTTTTTTTGAGATTCATTCTATTGATTTCTATTATCGATTTTCTTTTTAAAAGCCTTGATAAAAAAAAAAAAAAAAAAAAAAAAAACTTCTCTTGACGACTAAATTTTGCCATGAGTCACTTAACTTGTCTGACTAGTTTTTATATTTCATGTTTTTTTTTTTTTTTTTTCTGGGCCTACCATATTTAACAATGAATACTTTAAAAAAAAATAAAAATAAAAATTTTGTTTGAAAAAAATATCTTTAAAATTTTCCTTATTTTCTTCTTCTTCTTCGGTTTTAAAAACTTTTTCTTCTTCTTCTTCTACAAATGCATTTTTTTTTTTTTTTTTAAAAAAAAACGTTTTGGGGACCCAACTAAAAAAAAAAAAAAAAAAAAAATCCGTTTTTTTTTACTAACGTTTTCAATAATTTAAAAATTTTGATTTTTTGCAATGTTATTATTTCTTATAAAAAAAAATTAATGATTATTTATAATTTTTTTTTAAAATTATTGTTAGGTAATGGCGATTTTTAAGAAACGATTACCTGAAAAATGATTTCGAATTAAATAAAAACCGCATTTAAAAATTTAAATATTCATTTAATCTCAACATAATTATTTTTCTTCCATGGAGTCATTCAAAATCTTCTAAAAAAAAAAAAAAAAAAAACAAACCGAACGATAAATATATTTAGTTAATAAATAATTTAGAGTTGGTGATAAATTTAAAAGCCGTATTTATTTATTTATTTATTTGATTCCTTTATAAGGTACGTACGTCGAGGTTAATATTACTAAATTGTGATTCCAAATCTTTTTTTGCTTCCAGCATACGAGATCTTGCTTTTCTAAATGCTTCGAGAACAGAATTAAGACTGGATAAAATAAAATCTTTATTTTTTTTATTATTATTCCCAATCGTAAATTCTGGATCGATTTCATTTTTTTTTAAAAATTCCGATTGATGTAAAATACTTAATTTTAAATTTATTTCACCGGAAGGTATCGTTTCAAAACCGAATCTACTCACTAATTCTGCCTGGAAAAAAAAAAAAAAAACAACGACGCCATTTTAAAAAATTTAACACTAAAAATTATTATGTAAATTTAATGAATAATCGTAAAAAAAATTACAAAGTATTAAATTATTTCTCACTTTGGGATAATTTGAAAGACCCACGTAAAAAATATCTTCCAACTCGGATCCTCCTCCTATAAAAAATCTTTCTAATTTTGACCTAATTTTTTTATCAGCGGCTCTCCAGCATTTTAAATTAAATTCATACATTCCTGGAGAATGAGGTAAAGAAACGTATGTGTAACCTTCGTGCCTGTATCTATTGTAATTATCAATTGATAAAACTTCAAATATAATTTCGGGTAACGATACTGAAAATTCTAAAAGTTAAATATTTTTAAATTTTTTGTCTTTTTTTTTTTTTTGTAAAATCTGATAATTATTATTATTATCATAAACACCTTTAAATAACTGAAGATTTGCATATAAATTAAATTCGAATAAATGAGAAAAATATGCCGTTCCGCGAGAGTTTTGTTTTGAAATGTGAGTTATTCCGAATAAATCATCAGAGTTGAAAATTTCCCATTCTGGAGGCATTTTAACAAAATATTTAATGTAAAGATTACTGTATTCGAAATTTTTGGCACTTATTATGTCACCCAGTACTGTTGTGTATAGATTATTTGAATCTCCGGAAAAAAAATCAGATCCAATATGTAATTTTTTCATTTCGTCTTGGTGATGGAATACCTAAATAACGACAAAAAATTTTTAAAAATGTCAAAAATGACAATTTAAAAAAAAAAAAAAAAAATACTTAAAAGCCATTGTAATATATGAAACCTTAGATTAATGAAAAAAATAATTAAATATATATATATATAAAAATTACTTGCTCTTGTCATAATTTCCATTTCTTTCGTATGAGAGTTACTTGTAATGTCGTTTGAAGCATGAAATAACCAATAATAAAAAGATTTTTTATTATCCCCATTTCCCGTCTCTAATAAATATGGCTTAGATTCAGATTTTGAAAATTGTGGGGTCATCTCCAACAAATTATTCGAATCATTATAATTTAACATGCATAAAACTTCATAATTATTTTCATTATTTTCATCATCTCTAAAAATTTTAACTACTTGAAAAAAATGAAATAAATATTTTTCGACTAAAAACGCATTTAATATTTTTTTTTAATATAAGTATATATGATACTTATAACCCATAATCAATACTTACCCATTGTTTGAATTTAAATCAATCATAATAAACATTTTTTGAGAAGGGCTCTTGGTTGAGTTTAATTTATTTTTGAAATTTGGATAACTTATTATTTTAGATTTTGGTATTTTTTCAAGCTTCTTATTGCTATTTTTAAAATCGATTTTCAAAGTTTTTTTTGTATTAAAAGGCATACAAAAAACATTTTCATCGATTGAAAAATTATCAACATCTACAAAACTAAAAAGTTTTTCAGGAAGTTTTTTTTGACTGAAATCTCCTTTGAGATTGCTATGGCAATATTTAACATCGAGCTCTCCTTTCTTGTCTGAATCTTTGAATTTGACAAATTCACTTTTATTAAAAACTTTTTCTTGCCAATGAAAAACATATTCTTCTTTTTCATAATTTTGTTCCTCTTCTGCGAATGAAATAGTTTTGGGAAAATCTTCCGCCTCAAAGTTTGGAAGTGGTATAAACCAATTTTTAACTGGTTTTAACACTACTCTAAAATTTAAAATTTTTTTATATAATAACTTATTAAAATTACTTATAATTAAAAAATAAAAATAAACATACTTACTTGATTTTAAAATTTTCAATTGGATCGACACAATGGTAGTACCCCGTCGTATATTCAGATTCACATTCATAAGACATTTTATTTATCTAAAATTAAATTAAAATAAAATATTAAACTAATTAGAATGAATTTTGTGACACTAATAATATATATAAAGTAAACATTATTATAATAAAACATAAATAAAAAGTGTAATGAAAGTACTAAAGTATAAGAAGTAAAAGTAAATAACTTATTACCAAAATATAATAATAGTTTTAATTTTTTTAACTGTCTACAATTTTTTTTAAGTAATATCAGTATAAAAATAAATTTTCTTATATTTTAAAAAAGTAAAAAATATTTTCAAAACAATTTTCGTCATGGCAACGTAACTAGCAGTGTTACCAACACAAAAATCCCTGAATGTTAAAACAAGTACAATTTCCCTTTCCGTTATTCCTCGTGCATACTGTACAACTCGACAGCAGTTTATTATTTTGCGTTGCCTCGTTTCGTGTCTGTTAGACTTAAAAGTAAGTTTTTTTAAATTTATTATTACAAATAATAATTATATTTATCAATGTTTTAATTTTCTGCAATTATTTATAATTTTTTTGCAAAAATTTTATTGTATAAATTTAAATTAAATTTAAAATGATGATTCAATTTATCATCTCTCGACTGAGAGCCATGATGATTTTGTCCCAACGTACTGATTTCCTTTAAATATTATTGCATTAATTAGTGTATATAAAAGTATTTAAAATATTTTACTTAAATTAAAAATCATATTTAAATTTTTTTGCAGAATGCGTTACGTGGCCGCATATTTGTTAACAGTCCTTGGCGGAAAGGATAGTCCAGTAGCAGCAGACATTGAAAAAGTTTTAAGTTCTGTGGGTATTGAAGCTGAAGCAGAAAAACTTAAAAAGGTCATCAGTGAATTAAATGGCAAAAAAATTGATGATCTTATTACAAAAGGAAAAGAAAAATTAGCTACCATTCCTAGTGGAGGAGCTGTTGCTGCATCAGCTGCCGCAGCTCCTGCAGCTGCTGCTGCTGCTGGTTCACCACAGAAGAAGGAAGAGAAGAAAGAAGCCAAAAAGGAAGAACCTGAAGAATCTGATGATGATATGGGTTTTGGCTTGTTTGACTAATTAATATAGTATTTTTTTACTAAGAATGTCTGATTACATTGTTTTTTTCCTTACTCGATTTGTAAATTTCTTCATTATTTTTTTTCCCATACTGTATCACTTTAAAGCCGTTTTAAACATTCATACATAATTTATATATGTGCACTACAATCTAATTAGTATTTACATGATTTTCTATAGAAAGTGAAATGAACGACTGCAAACATATTTTTGCAGTTTTCATTTAGATGTAGATTAGAGGAATTAACTGTTACCACAACAGTATTAAGTAAATGCATTTAAATTCGCATTATAAAGAAATACATATAAGACATGATATTAATATGAGATATTATTAAAAATTTCAACAAAAAGATACACATAATTTCAATAAAAGTAATTTTAAAGATATTTAATTTATCAATTTGCTATGTTGATGAATAATTTTTCATCATAATCCACAGCTATTTCGAATTATGTAAGGGAACGCATGCGCGCATAATGAATCAATATTTGATGTGGCATTCTTATAACCGCCGCGTATTGAAATCCGGCTCCAGTTTTTATTTAAAACTAAAAGTTCTTAAGCAAACAATGTTAATTGTTTAATTTTAAATAAGAAAAAATTTTAAAATATAATATTTTACAATATATATATAAGCGTATTTTTAATTATCGGGAAACTGAATTGTAGGACTATTTTTCGTACCTGTCGTTTCTGGTAGCCATGTTTTGAATGTCAGAATCGGTATCGGTTTTGTCATGGTGTAACTGTGTGTATATAGATTTTTTGTGAACCGATCGTGAGAGAGAATTGGACGAACGTTATTAGTTTATTAGATTGTTGTGATTAATATTTAATTATTCAAAATGACACAAGGATTACCGATACGTTTTCAGGAACATCTGCAGGTAGTATTTGTAATGGAATAACGCCCCTTTTTTAGCATATTGAATTAACTTTTTGTTAATTGAGTTGTTACTTTAGTATTTTTTTTTTTTTTTAGAAACTAAATTTTTTTACAAAATTTTTTATTTTTACCTTACTTTACATACTGTCAAATGTAAAAAAAGGTCACCTCGACCCACACAAATTTAATTGTTATTTTGTTGAATAATGGAAATTTAGGTAATGATTCTCACTTTCAGAAATTAAAATTTACAAAAAAAATGCAATTATTATGCTGGAATAAATATAATACATGTCTAATTTTAAAATTTTTAGAGGATTAAATAACAAATTTATTACAATAAAGTATAAGACAAATAATAATGTCACAACCTGCTTTATTAATAATCATAATTTTCATACAGTTCCTTTCCTGTTAGAGCATGTTGCAATATTGAAACTCAAAATTACATTATTAATTTATTATTTTTTTACTTAATTTTATTAAATTTAATTTAATTAAAATGAAATTTTTCACTTTATCTTCATTACACCTTTTATTTCAGATTTTTTACTTTAGTTTTATTAAATTTCGAAAGCAGTCGGTTATTTTTTAAAGACATTTAACAAATTTCTCGAATCATTTTTAAATTTGTTAATTTCATAATAAAATTTATATATGTAGGATTCAGCAACTTTCTAATAAATTTAACATTTTTTTAATGGTAAATGACAATTATTGTAAGGTGTAAAAAATGCATTTTTACATTTATAAAATACACAGAAGATAAATTTGGGAAGTTTTTATCTAACAGTCACCTAAAAAGATTTCATTTCGAATGCATACAAAATACATAACTAAAAAATCAAACTTGAAAAAAAATTTATTTTATATTCTTTGAAATGGTAACTCTTAAGTTAACTCAATTAGTGTTGATCTTCTCTTGTTAGTTTGTTTAACATTTACAAAGGGTCGGTGACTCTTAAATTAATTTTCTTCATACTCTAATTAAATACTTTGAATAATAAAATGAATTATTTTTATATTAAATAATTGTTAAATAAGATAAAAATCCTCGACTTATCCCATTTGAAATTTAAAAAATGGTAAAATATTATTTAAAAAAAAAATATTTAAAATAATTAATTAATAAAATACTTTTTTTTTTTTTTTTTTAGCTCACTAAAGTGGGTATCAATCAGAATAGTGTCTCATTTGGGACACTCACAATGGAGTCAGATAAATTTATATGCGTCAGAGAAACAATTGGTGAAACTTCACAAGTTGTAATCATTGATATGAACGATGTATCAAATCCAATAAGACGTCCAATATCGGCAGATTCAGCAATTATGAATCCAGCTTCTAAAGTGATAGCTCTAAAAGGAAAAGCTGGTGCTGAAGGTGGAATTTTTTTAGCATAAAATTATTTTTTTTGCCAAATTTAAAAAAAAAAAAGCCTGTCGGAAAAGATGGAGGAGAATCACTGATAAAAATTTTGTTATACTTTTTTTTTTGTTCCAGCTCAAAAAACACTTCAAATATTCAATATAGAAATGAAAAGCAAAATGAAAGCTCATGCGATGACCGATGATGTCATCTTTTGGAAGTGGATTTCATTGAACACTTTAGCACTCGTAACGGAATCATCAGTCTATCACTGGAGCATGGAAGGTTTGTAAATTCCATATAATAAATTAAAATTATTGAATTTTATGGAAAAATAAAATGTTAAAAATGCCAGTTAATTTTGTGGACTTTGAATTTAAAAATGCCTATTTATATATTAACAATTTATCTTGTGTAAAAAAATATTCGAAAAGAGATAAAATCCTTATCTTTCAGCCAAACAGTGTTTCTTCTCATAAATGTCTCAATTTATGTCTGTTGTAATACTACTAACTTACTTTATATTACCATTTAGATTTTTCAGCAAAATCCACAAATTTTTTTTAAAATCGAATATGAATTTTATTATATATTAAAATTGTTAATTTTTAGGTGATTCAACGCCTCAAAAAATGTTTGATCGCCATTCTTCTTTAAATGCATGCCAAATAATAAATTACAGAACTGATCCGAATCAAGCATGGCTTTTACTTATTGGTATTACCGTTCAGGGTAATCGTGTAGCAGGAGCCATGCAATTGTACTCGGTTGAGAGAAAATGTTCACAACCTATTGAGGGTAAATAATAATTGAATGTTTTTTTGTTTAAAAAACTTAAATTAATCAATTATTTAAAATGATATTTTAATATCATTCACTTTTAGGTCATGCTGCTGCTTTCGCTCAGTTTAAAATGGAAGGAAATGCGGAAATGTCAACGTTGTTTTGCTTTGCCGTGCGATCCGTTCAAGGAGGTAAACTTCACATAATTGAAGTAGGTCAGCCTCCGGCTGGCAATCAACCTTTCACAAAAAAAGCAGTTGATGTTTTTTTCCCTGCCGAAGCTGTTAATGATTTTCCTGTTGCAATGCAGGTAATTTTTAATGTCGTACTTTTTCTTAAAAAGTTTTCTTTTGTATAAACATGACATTTCTCCAATACGATGTATAATTTTAGGCAAGTCCAAAATACGACGTTATTTATTTAATCACCAAGTATGGATATATTCACTTGTACGACATTGAGACTGCAACTTGCATTTATATGAATCGAATAAGTTCCGATACTATATTCGTGACTGCTCCTCTTGAGGCTACCGGAGGCATCATCGGAGTTAACAGAAAAGGACAGGTATAATTTACAAGTTTTAATACTCGAGTTATAATGCGCGTATTTTATTTTGAATTTATTTTAATCGATTTTGCTCTTGCAGGTTTTATCTGTTACCGTGGATGAGGACAATATTATTCCATACATCAATACGGTTCTTCAGAACCCTGATCTTGCTTTGAGAATAGCCGTCAGAAATAATCTCGCGGGTGCTGAAGATTTGTTTGTTCGCAAGTTCAATCAACTGTTTCAAAATGGACAATATGTGGAAGCCGCCAAGGTTGCAGCAAACGCGCCAAAAGGTATTTTAAGAACTCCTCAAACAATACAGAGATTTCAACAAGTTCCTACTCCTTCAGGACAAACCTCGCCTCTATTGCAGTATTTTGGAATTTTACTAGATCAGGTAATTAAATAAAAATAACAATAATAATTAAGTCATATGTCGTTTATTAGTATTAAAATTATTTTTTGAACGTTCTTAGGGTCAGTTGAATAAATATGAATCGTTGGAATTATGTCGACCTGTTTTGCAACAAGGGCGTAAACAATTGCTTGAAAAATGGTTGAAAGAAGATAAACTTGAGTGTTCTGAAGAATTGGGAGATTTGGTAAAACAAGCAGATCCGACATTGGCACTTTCCGTTTATTTAAGAGCAAACGTTCCCAACAAAGTCATTCAGTGTTTCGCAGAAACTGGACAATTTCAAAAAATTGTTCTTTACGCCCAAAAGGTTGGGTACACTCCCGACTACATATTTCTTTTGCGCAATGTGATGCGAGTTAATCCGGAGCAAGGAGTAGCTTTTGCTCAGATGCTAGTACAGGATGATGAACCATTAGCAGATACAAATCAGGTATATCAGTTTTTCAAAGCTTTTATTTTTTTTAAATTTTCCATATCTTTATTATTAATTTTACTATTGTTATTTTTAGATTGTGGATATTTTCATGGAGCAGAATATGGTTCAACAATGTACAGCATTTTTACTGGATGCTTTAAAAAATAATCGACCGTCCGAAGGGCCTTTACAAACTCGATTACTCGAAATGAATTTGATATCGGCTCCTCAGGTCGCGGATGCAATTTTAGGAAATCAAATGTTTACCCATTATGATAGAGCTCACATCGCTCAATTGTGTGAAAAAGCAGGCTTACTTCAGAGAGCTCTGGAACATTACACTGATCTTTACGACATTAAAAGAGCGGTTAGTTTCACTTCTGAGGTATTCGTCGATTTTGAAGAAGAATGTCACACTGATTATAAAATTTTTTATTAGGTCGTTCACACCCACTTGCTAAATTCCGAATGGCTCGTTGGATACTTTGGAACTTTGAGCGTGGAAGATTCTTTGGAATGTTTGAAAGCAATGTTAACGAATAACATTCGTCAAAACTTACAAACTTGCGTTCAAGTTGCTACGAAATATCACGAACAACTTACGACAAAAGCTCTCATCGATTTATTTGAAAGTTTCAAAAGCTACGAGGGTTTATTTTATTTCCTAGGATCGATCGTTAATTTTTCGCAAGACCAAGAAGTTCATTTCAAGTACATTCAAGTGAGTAATTCACTCGCAAATTAATTTCTATTTTTAAGTTTAATTTAAATTTTCACTTGTTTATTTTTTTAACGTACGACGACAGGCAGCTTGCAAAACTGGACAAATCAAAGAAGTGGAAAGGATTTGCAGGGAATCAAATTGTTACAATCCGGAACGTGTGAAAAACTTTTTGAAAGAAGCAAAATTAACCGATCAATTGCCCTTGATTATTGTGTGCGATCGTTTCGATTTTGTGCACGATTTGGTTTTGTATTTGTATCGGAATAATCTACAAAAATACATTGAGATTTACGTGCAAAAGGTAAGTTTTGAAAAAAAATTCAGTTAACTGAATCTACGCTCGACCGAATTTATTTAATTTAATATTTATTTTAGGTGAATCCGTCTCGCCTTCCCGTTGTTATCGGAGGCCTGTTAGACGTCGATTGTTCTGAAGACATAATTAAAAACCTAATATTAGTCGTAAGAGGTCAATTTTCAACTGACGAGCTAGTCGAGGAAGTGGAAAAAAGAAACCGTTTGAAACTTTTATTGCCTTGGCTCGAATCGAGAGTTCACGAGGGTTGCGTCGAATCGGCGACTCATAATGCTCTCGCAAAAATTTATATCGATAGCAATAATAATCCGGAAAGATTTTTAAAGTAAGTTTGATTTCTTCATAAAAATACCTTTTTTCATTTGACAAAAATCTATGACACGTTTTTTTTTTTCTTTAAACAGGGAAAATCAATTTTACGACAGCAGAGTCGTCGGAAAGTATTGTGAAAAAAGAGATCCACACCTGGCATGTATCGCCTACGAAAGGGGTCAATGCGACAGGGAATTGATTAACGTTTGCAATGAAAATTCACTCTTTAAATCCGAAGCTCGGTAGGTGTTGTAAAATTGTTGCTAAATTTCAAATTGCTTATTTTCGATTGAAACTTGCTCTAAAGTTTACTTACACACATATGAATTTTTGTCAATTTAGGTATTTGGTGAGAAGATGTGATCCGGAATTGTGGGCTGAAGTATTAAGTGAGAATAATCCGTACAAACGTCAACTGATCGATCAAGTCGTTCAAACGGCTTTAAGTGAAACTCAAGATCCCGAAGATATTTCGGTCACGGTTAAAGCATTTATGACCGCGGATTTACCGAACGAATTAATTGAACTTTTGGAAAAAATTGTTTTGGACAATTCCGTTTTTAGTGATCACAGGTATGTCAGATTTTTTTATTCGTTAGTATGACGCAAAAAATTTTTTTTTTTTTTACCTTGCAAATTTAATTTCAATAATTTTTTAAATAGGAATTTGCAAAACTTGTTGATTTTAACGGCCGTCAAAGCCGATAGAACTCGAGTTATGGAATACATAAATCGATTGGATAATTACGATGCTCCGGATATCGCTAATATTGCTATCAGTAATCAATTATACGAAGAAGCTTTTGCTATTTTCAAAAAGTTTGACGTTAACACTTCTGCTATACAAGTGAGTAAATGAAGAAATTATTCACAAATTAAAAAGAAATTTCGTTGAATTTTTTTTCCCCCCCATTTTTCCTTTTTTTGTAGGTTTTAATAGATCACATTCAAAATTTGGATCGCGCCTACGAATTTGCCGAAAGGTGCAACGAACCTGCCGTGTGGAGTCAACTTGCTAAAGCTCAGTTGCAACAAGGAATGGTCAAAGAGGCCATCGATTCATTTATCAAAGCAGACGATCCCTCGGCTTACATGGACGTCGTTCAAACGGCTAGCAAAACAAGTAAAATAAATTTTTTTTTTTTTAAAAAAAAAAACTAAAAAAACTATAAATATATGAATCCATTTTAAATTACAGACAGTTGGGAAGATTTGGTTCGTTATTTACAAATGGCGAGAAAGAAAGCTCGAGAGTCTTACATAGAAAGTGAACTTATTTATGCTTATGCAAGAACAAATCGATCGTCCGATTTGGAAGAATTTATATCGGGACCTAATCATGCGGATATTCAAAAGGTGATTGATTTAAGTAAAATATTATTATTATTATTATTATTATTACTTATCAATTAACTCAGGTTTTTTAGTAATAAATCTATTTTTTTTTTTTTTTTTCTCGCAGATCGGTGACAGATGTTTCGAAGACAAAATGTACGAAGCTGCTAAATTGCTTTACAATAACGTGAGTAATTTTGCTCGTCTTGCGATTACTCTCGTTCATTTGCGGGAATTTCAAGGTGCCGTAGACTCGGCGAAAAAAGCCAACAGCACCAGGACGTGGAAAGAAGTTTGTTTTGCATGCGTCGATTCGGAAGAATTTCGGCTTGCGCAAATGTGCGGGCTCCACATAGTGGTGCACGCCGACGAATTAGAAGATTTGATAAATTATTATCAGGTGTGTATAAATTAAAAAACGTTAAAATGCATGTGTTTGTATTAATTAAACCGGGGGCTGAAGTATTTAATTTTTTTTTTTTTTTGTCTCTTTAAATTTGTCCAGGATAGAGGATATTTCGAAGAATTGATCAACCTTTTAGAAGCCGCTTTAGGATTGGAAAGAGCTCACATGGGAATGTTCAGTGAGCTGGCTATTTTGTATTCCAAGTATAAGCCGAGCAAAATGCGTGAGCATTTGGAACTTTTCTGGTCGCGAGTCAACATTCCAAAAGTTTTAAGAGCTGCCGAACAAGCTCATTTGTGGTCCGAGTTGGTTTTCCTGTACGACAAATACGAAGAATACGATAACGCCGTCATTGCGATGATGGCACATCCCACGGAAGCATGGAGAGAGGGTCATTTTAAAGATATAATAACCAAGGTTGGAAATTTGAATTGTGCGGTATTAATGCATATAAATATTTCGTAACATCATCCTTTTAATTTGGAATTTTTTTTTTTATTAAAGGTTGCCAACATAGAATTGTACTATAAGGCTATACAGTTTTATTTAGATTATAAACCGTTGTTACTCAACGATATGTTGTTGGTTCTCGCTCCCAGAATGGATCACACTCGCGCAGTCAGTTTCTTTACCAAAGTTAATCATCTGCAACTCGTAAAACCTTATTTACGCTCAGTCCAAAGCCTCAATAACAAAGCTATAAACGAAGCACTTAATCAATTGCTAATCGATGAAGAAGATTACCTGGTGAAAATTTTCATTTAATTACTCTTGAGATGAGACCATCGGAATAAAACGGAAGGAAAGAAATAATTTTGATGACAATATTTTTTTTTTTTTCGATAGGGTCTTCGAACGTCGATTGACGCCTTTGACAATTTCGATAACATTGCTTTGGCACAGAAATTAGAAAAACACGAATTAACGGAATTCCGTAGAATCGCTGCGTATTTGTATAAGGGAAACAACCGTTGGAAACAATCCGTCGAGCTGTGTAAAAAAGACAGGCTTTTTAAGGTTTTTTTTTGGAAATTTTTTTTTTTTTGTTCGTTTTATTTTTCTTTTGATTCATTTTATATATTAATATAATAATTCCTTTTGATTTAGGACGCCATGGAATATGCGGCAGAATCAAAAAATCCGGAAGTTGCTGAAGAATTGTTGGCTTGGTTTTTGGAAAAAGAGTGTTACGATTGCTTTGCTGCTTGTTTATTCCAAGTAAAATTGTTTCCATTTTTTTTTTAATTAATTAATTAATTAATTGTGTAATAGTTATCTTGAAAAAAAAAATTTTATTTTTAAAAAAGTGTTACGATCTTCTACATCCCGATGTTATTTTGGAACTCGCTTGGCGTCATAACATTATGGATTTTGCCATGCCCTATTTAATTCAAGTTCTCAGAGAATATACGAGTAAGGTAGACAAATTAGAAGAAGCTGAAAGTCAAAGAGTCGAAGAAACAGCACATCAGGAAAATAAACCGATGATGATTCGTAAGTTTGTAAAATTTCCCATTCATTATTATTTAAAAAGTGAAAAGAAAAACAAAATGGTGTTGAAAGCATGTTAAAATTTTTTTTTTTTTTTTTTTTTTAGCTGAACCACAGTTGATGTTAACTGCTGGACCCGGAATGATGGGAACCGGTTATGCGCCTGCATACCCGCAAACGGCTTATTCTCCGAATCCAGGAATGCCTTATCAAGGCTACGGCATGTAACAACGCATCATTCGCAATCGTATTAAGTTATTTTTATTTTTTTTTTTTTAACTCTTCAGTAAATAATTAAGAAAGATGGAAAGATGCCGGTTACGCGCCTGCAATTATCACCAACAGCTTATTATACGGAATGCCAGGAATGCCTTATCGAGGCAACGGCATGTACCGCATACAATCATACAATCATATTAAGTTTTGTTTTTTTTTTTATTAGTAAATAATAATTATTTTTAAAGGCTTTCATTTGACACACACACACAAGTTTTGTTTTCTGTTTTCAACGTTTAAAAAGTCGACGTATTACCGTAAATCAGTTTTTTTTTTTTTTTTATTAGTTTGAATTGTATCTTTAACTACTATTAGAAAAAGGCAAATTTAAAAAAAAAGCACGTGCAAGATAATTGATTTCTCGATAATAAAAAAAAAAAAAACAGTTATATAAAATGAGTTTTTCATATAATCTCTAAAGGATTTGGTATTTTTTGCCTTCTTTTATAAATATGCTTTGTATAAAAAAAAAAAAAAAAAAAAGCCGGTGAAATTATTTAAATGGTGAACAATCGATACACTTATTACAACCCGGTGAGAAGGAATTTCGCTTTAAAAATCTTGGTTTCAACCGTAAATATCAGGCTAATTTGTTAAGTTTTGTTTTTTTTTAATGGTAACCCTGATATAAAATATTAGTAGAAAACCCATATATATGTTTAATTTTCAACGTTACTTTTCTCTGGTCAAACTTGCTCCTCCCCCTTTTTTTTTTTTTTAACCTCCTTCAAATCATAATAGGGCAAATATTTATTTTTGTTATTTTCGCTTACCGAAGGATTTGAGATGGACTCTCCTTCGATTCAATTCTCCCCCCCCCCTCCTCCCTATACCAGTTTTTAAATTTATTCAGATTAATTTTTTTTTTTTTGTTATATTTTTAAATCGTGTAACTCATGTTTTCCTTTTTTTTATTATTATTATTATTATTATTTGAGTAGGCAATGATGAAATAAATAGAGTTTATTTTAAAAAAAAGTTTACATTTTTGTAATTTATAACATATTAATTTATTTTTTTATGATTAATAATTATACTATTATTATTATTATTATTATTACTATTAATGGTAGTTTATGGTCTTATTTGATATATATATAAAGTTAAAATTTGCGAATCTCAAAAATTATACGAGAGAAAAATGTAAATCTTGTGTTTAATTTAATGTGTAACGGATTTATTTCAATTTTTTTTTTCTTTTCTTTTGCAGTAACAACAACAAAGTATTAATAATAATAATAATGATAATTATTTATTATTATTATTTATTATATTAATAGTAAATAATTTATGTGATTTACAAAGCATATTAAAAAGAGAGAGAAAGAGAGAGAGAGAAGGAATATATCAAAACCCCTTTGGAGAGTGTAAACAAAAAAAAAAAAAACTCATTTTATTTATTTATTAACTTATTATTATTATTTTTAATAAATATTCCGGTAAAATAAATAAATAAATAAATAAATAAAGAAAGCCATTTTTAAATTATTAATTATTTACAATTAAAAAAAATGATGATGATGATGATGATGATGATGATGTGCAATTAAAACAATATGATGATGTTAGATCTTAATTAATTAGTGTTATTAATTAATTAATTAATTAATTAAAATATTTTTTTTTTCTTTTTAACTTTTTTTACTTTTTATTATTATTATTATTATTTTTTATTATTTTAATTTTTTTTTTTTTTCAATGAATTTAATGAATTTTTTAATTCTTTCCTAAAACAAAAAGTGGGAAGATACAAAAGTAAAAGTAAAAGAAAAATGGTATTCCCGGTTGTTTGTTTGATTGTTTGTTTGTTTGTTTGTTTTTCTTTTTTTTTTTTATTATTATTATTATTATTAAAATATATCAATCATAGACAAAAATTTTTTTTTTTTTTTTTTGCTCTTGTTTTAGATATATATATATATATATATAATATTATGTAATAATAGCGGCCTGCGTTAATAAATAAATATTTATTAAGAGTATATATATATAAATAAATAAATAAATATAAAAAAAAGCTGTTAATTAATTAATATATATATATATAATTATGAAATGTAATAATAATAATAATAATAACAATATCCGATTAATTATAATAATAATAAAACAAAAAAAAATTTTTTTTGACCCCCCGTCATTATAAACAAAAAAAAAAAAAAAAATTAATTAAAAAACGATGAAATTGACAAATTATATATTATTAATTAATGACGTCATAAAAAAATTTTTTCGCGTGACGTCACATGGTGGATACAACATTTAACTCGGATTTAAATTTGTTTTGTTTTTATGATTTAAAAATTTTAATTCATTCATAAACAATTAATTTTTGTTGGATTAAATAATTTATTAATGGATAGGTAGTAGTAAAAATTAGTAGTGGTAGTAATATTAATAATAATAATTAATAATAATAATAATAATATCAATTGGAAATTGTAAGAGTTACGATATTTATAATTAAAATAAAAAAAAGAGAAAGAAATTATTAAAATATTGACAATATTAAAAATTTAAAAAAATATTTTATTTATTTATTTATTTATTATTATTATTATTAATTGTTTAAATTTAAATATAAATAAATAAATTATTAGTCGATGAAAAATTAGCAATAAAAAAACAAACACAAATTTTTTTTTTTCTTTTTTGATTTTATTTAATAATTAAATTTATTTATTTTTATTACTCGTTACAAACAAATAATAATAATAATAATAATAAGTCGTGTCCTTTAAATTTTTATTTATTTTATCACGTGATAAATCTAAAAAAAAAAAAAATAATAATAATAATAAAAGTCGCGTTTTTGACATATTTTTTTTCTCCCAAGACGATTCGTTATTCTTATTTTTTTTTTTTTTCGTATAAATTATGGATTTTGCTAGAAAAAATAAAAATAAATAAATTAATTAATAAATACATGAGAGTTTAATAATATTTAAATAAGTAAATAATAATAATAAATTTTATTACCAATTTTTGTGTTTCGGACCAAAAACAATCCGTGAATAAAAATGCTTTTTCACATTTATCTTGAGATTCTGTAAATTTATTTATTTATTTATTAAATAATTGAAAAATTATTATTAATAATAATAATAATAATAATAATAACGTCAATAATTATATTCGTGATAAATTATAATCAAAAGGCCTACGTAATAATAATAATAATAATAATAATTTTTTAAAGGGGGCCGTGATCTTTGACTATTATTATATTATATGTGAATTTATTATTACGTGTGTTTGTTTGTTTGTACTTTAGCACTAAAAGTAAAAACCAACAGATTGGTCAAGAAATGACCTTTTTTCTCTCTCTCTCTCTCTCTTTATTTAATAAATTATAAAATCAATAAGAGAGAAAAAGAGGAAAAATTAATTATGTTTCATTCATTCATTCATTCATTGATGATATTAAATGGTATATAATAAAGTGAGTCAATATTATGTTTGTTGATACTTGTTTGTTGATATATATTAATTTTCTTTCTCTCTCTCTCTCTCTTTTAGATGGAACAAACGTTGGCTGAAGAAGGTATAAGACAAAAAAAAAAAAAAAAAAAAAAAGAAGTGAAGGATCAAACCTATTTCCGTGCAAGAATCCAAAAGGTATTCAATCGATGATTCCTCCAGACTACTTTCTTCCAACGTATTTTTCATTTCGACATATTTAAAATTTCCTTTTTCGTTCATCCAACCGTAATTATAATAAAGACAATAAATAAAACATTTAAAATTATTATCTACGACTATGACGTCATTGTTGAAATTTTTATGTACCAAAACTAAATTTAATATTAATTTAT